TAATTCATGTGGCTGGCCTTGCCCAAACTTTTGGCTGATAAGTAATTCTTGCGGGATTTAATTTAGATTGATTTCCCCCTTCGAAGTGCTTTTCCTAATCAATAAATTGATTTTAAAACTAATTTCTGCTGTCCACTCCCCAGTGATTCATTGTCACGCACGGGCAAATAATAGCACGCTAAATAATAAAGCTCGCGGGCAAACAAAGAGTTCTAGTTCGGTTGCAATCGAGTGTCTGAAATCGGGAGTCCCAATCGAGTTCAATTGCGGAATGTGTTAAACGACTCCCACGCTCGCTCTTTTTTCGCCTTTCCCTGTGTGTGTGTAAAAATAATTGCGGCTGGCTGCTCAATTTGCAGCAGCTGGTGGGTGGTGGTGCCACCATCTGTACAGGAAAACCTCCACCACCTGCACCGCCATTTTGCCCCCCGGGGAGTGATGTCCGTGCCGGGCTGTTTGTTTAGTGCACATAAATAAAGCAAACACTCGGACAACTCGCATCGAGTTCACGCACTGTCGGCAGTCGGGATCTGGTCCTTTCGCTCCTTCCTGTCCTTTCAGACCTTCTGGTGTGATATAATCAAAGACTATCGCATTGCGCTCTGGACATTTGCAGGCCCAGCCATCGCAGCCGACCATCAATCAGGGGCGAATCCAGAGGGGTTTCTAGGGGTTAAAGTAACTCTTAAAATCACAGTCCTGCAAGCAAGGGGCATATTGCAAAGTCGGTTTCAAAAGGTTTACAAAATTGATTTGGAAAAAAAAATATAAAACACTTTGAAATTTCTAAAACTTAACTTTGAGATAGGAACATCCAAATGTTATTAACCTGAAAAAAAAAATGTATCGAGCATTTGGCACATACTTTCAATATGCATAAAAAATTCAACATTTTGCGGAAAAAATAACACGAAAACAAGATTTGAAAAAAATATGTATTGGTCGAAATTTAAATTTATATTTTTTAAGGAATTTTAGAGTAGCTATTTTATTTAAAATAGAACAACTAGGAATCTATACTCATTTTAATGCCTTAGGAAAAGGTATTTGCAAATATATGCCCTTTAAAGAGCAATGTAAAAATTGTTTCGAAATCAAGCGAATAATTAAACAATTTTAACAAATTAAAACTTTCGAATGGTATTTAAACCTGGATGTAAAACCCCCCAGAAAATACTTTCCTGTCAGCCATCCAGAAGCGTTGACCACCCCGACCAGAAGCCTTCAGAGAGGCGCCAGGAGTCGAAGCCCCTGGCTTTGCCACGTCCATCGAGCCGAGCTCATTCAACTCATTCAACTGGTGTGCAATGGCCGGCATCCAGGCCCATACCCCTTTTGCCCGATGTAATGCACCTGGGCCATAAAACCAACCCCTGCAGCTGGCTGACTGGCTGGCTGTGTGTAACTTCATTAGCCCGTGGCTGATACGCAGCGGGTAAATTGCTCGTGAAGTTGGCCGGACGAGGAGTAACGGCCATCGACCAGGTGGATATCTGGGAACCTCAATCTTCGACTCAATTACGGAGCAGGTTGTTGATTTTGTCAGCTGCAGTTGACTTCCCTTTCCCTTTTGGCCGAAAGCCCATTTATGCATATGAATTTATTCAAATCAGGGCAGAAGGACCTCCGAGCAGAAGGACCTCGACCAGAGGTATTTGTTGTGGCGCTTTCGGCGCTAAACTATTTTACATTTAGAGCAGCCAGCCCAAAGTTGTTGGGCATTCCTCCGAAAATCCGTAGCCAGAGCCGATGTGTAAGCCAAAATAACCAGGAGCTGGAAAGCCAGGAGTGGAGTGGAAGGACCTGCCCCAAATCGTGTATGTATGTGTGCTCGGCTGGCGCTTTGTTCACATGTTTTCACTTTGTGCTTAATTTGCATTTAAATGGTTTTTGCACTTAGGCTATTTCCCGTGTAAATGAGCTTTGTTGGCCGCGTGTGTTGTTCAGTTTTCAGCAGGCCAAAAGGCAATGCAAAAAAGCAGAAGCAGAGAGTAAAGGCCGAGCTTTTGTTTTCGCAGCCGTTGGTTTTACTTGCATTTTGGCCAGAACACGCGTGTCTTGCCCAACCGAAAAATGGAAACCCCTTGGAAAGGCATTCGGCGGTCGAAAGTTCCTGTGGCTGAGTGCTCGAAATTGCCGGGGGGCATTACAATTTGTTTTTTTTTTACAGCTGTGCAAATTTCTTCTAGTTTCGCGTTTTGAAATTTGTTATTTTCAACAATCAGAGATTTCCTAAACGAGAACATAAGTTTGTGGTTTTGTTTGTTGGTTCTATCATTCTTCACTTGGCTGCACATGCAATGCATAACTTTTTGTTATTAAAATTTATTTGTAGTTGTGTTTTAATTGCACGAACAGCTAAAATTACGGTTCCGTCAAAACGGGCTCGGAATTTACATAAACAAATACGGCCTGGCAGTAGAGGAACAAATATTTGGCTCCCCAGCATTTATTCCATTTTCCCCATCCCGTTTTCCATGCAGACTGCAAAATGGAAAAGCCCCATATTTGTTTAGTTTTTACATGGCGCAGGTCGAGTGCGATATCATCTTTTTTTGATTAGGGAGAAGTATTATTTCTCGTATTATGTCTGGTATTATTTTTAGTATTTCCCCGGGGTTAGTGTAGAAGGCTAGAAGTTAACCTAATTGAAGGCCAGCGAAATAATTTCGCAAATTAGCGGCTACCACGCTTTTTATGACTTAATGCCTTAGACTAGATATGTCAGCAGATATATCCCCACCGAGCAAACAAGTCGCTGGCCCCATTTTCCGTTTCCCATTTAGCGCAATGTCAACTTTTGTGTTGTGTTGTGGTCACTAATGATGACAGGCTGGCAGGCAGTCAAAGCCCAAGTCCAAACACACACGGAAAATACAGAAAATGGCGGCCCAGTGCAGGATGACCAGCAGGACCTCCGTGTCCTGTCTGCAGTCCTTGCCTTTTCGCTGTGACAATGATGTGGCCCAGGCAGCGGCAGCGGAAAAAAAACAAACACAAACTGATTTGATTGTTTGTAATTAAAAGTGGACGGACGTGGAAAATTAAACGGCCATGCGCAGGATACAGGACACGCGGCCTGCGGAGCCTGATCCTCGCAGCCGGACATAAAACTTTATGGCCATGTGCCATCACTGTGCTCTCCTCCACCTCACACCGTGTCGTTAATTTAAAAAGTAGAAAAGAAAGCCCATAAAATGAGCTCTACACGTGCCCGAATGTCCTGCGAGAAAGGAGATCCTGCGTCTTAAATGGTTAATTAGCTTAAATAATTCCGTATTCATTCCGTTCCATCAAAACTTAAATGCCACTCGGAACGGAACGTCTGGTGGCAATGACAGGTTGCTCTTGAAGTCGCAATCGGAACGGCTCAGGATAGCTGTCAACATGGATATTAGTGGGAATGAGTAATGCCAAGCTGTCAGGGGCCAAAAGGGCGGAAGGAGTGGCCTGAACTAGAGCGACTTGGCCAAGAAGGCAAGGCCACATTGGGGCGAAACCGTTCGGGACCACAAATTACAATATTTAAGCTGGCCAAATACATTTAAATATTCCACAGGGATGGGAAAATCTAAATATTAACCAGCTTGGGTACTTGTATATAAGTTGAACAAATGCAAGAAAATTATCATTCCTTATCATTCTAAAAGCTTTTGCTAGCCTTTTATATTTTAAAACAATATTTTAAAAATGTTTTATAATTTAAGGATTTTTATAAATATTTGTAACACTATTTAAAATACTAAAGGTACTACCAAATTTTCATAAGTAATTAAAGTAAAACTATTTAATAAAAAGAAACCATAAATAAAGTGATTTTTTCATAAACCAATTAAAAGCAATTTGCTTAGTTAATTAAGAATAGAAGGCGTAGAAAACGAATCAGGCTCTAAGTGTCGCCGAGCGACAAGCCGCAATTAGCTCTTAAATTGACTGTTTATGTTATAACTCGATAATAGAAACTATAACGCAAATTGTTTTTTCAGAAACCAATTACAGACAATTGCTGGGGTAATTAAAAAAACAAGGCCAGTGGACGGACGTGTTCGTGGGCCGAATGAACGAATGGTCGAATGGCTAAAATGACTGAAATGGCTAAAATGGCAGGATGGCCCGCGGCTGGGCCACACTTAATGCATTTAAAGCGGCTGCTTTGGCCGGCCAGCAAACAAAGTGGAAGGAATGGTCTTTCGAATGGCAGCCTGTTGATTCTTTGGACTCGGGAAAGGACTCGTATTCGGCAGGACACATGGGAACTGTTGCCGTGGCGCAACAACTGGCCGGATAATTGAGCGCACGGAAAGCTCCGAACGAGCTTTCACTCTCTCGGCTCCGAAAAGTGGAAAGCTGGAAAGGACTCCCGGCACCACCCACATCGAAACGGGGGCCGCAGGTGTGGGAGTCGTCCTGAGCCGTCGTCCACTTTCCAGGCTGCCAGTGCGTGTCGCCTGCCACTTCAGTCTAGGATAAACGCTTGCGACGAGCACAACAAGTGCGCGCATGCAAAGAGCCCCCGGAGCCAGTGGTTTTCTACAGCCAAAGCCCCAAGCCAAAGTCCACGCCGTGTAGTGCAGTGTAGTGTAAGCGAAAGTGAGAGTGAAGGTGCAGCAGAGATAGTGAAAGGCTGGGCAGGACACCTGCCGGCGAGGTCCTTGCTCTGCGAGTGCGCGCGATCCGCAGGCGATATAGTATCAATAATAATAATAATTAGCGCGCGTTCAATCAAACATGTAACTCCCTTTCCCTGATATCAAACAAAAAACCCGCGATCAATAATTGCTTAGGCTTAGGGTTTCGGTAGTGGTGGTGGTGCCAAACACAAGTAGAACCCCCCGTCGATTTATTCCCACAAAACAAAAGCCACCGACAAATTGTATGCCATTTATTGTTTTGTGAAGATAATCAGATCGCTCAAGTGCTACAGTTTGATATTTCGAAAGTATCATCGAGTGCCCATTTTGGATTTCAATCAAAGGCTTAACCAGTCTAAAAAAAACCCCCATCTGCCCATCTGCAGCTGGACCCAATCAATTCGGAAATATGAATAGGTTTTGGATAATCGCTTTACTTTTAGCATTACAGCAAACAAAGCCAATAAGTAAGTACTTCGCCCAGTGAATTTCATGTTTGTTTTGTCCATTTGTGGTGGCTCTTTTGATTGCCTTTTTGATTATTAGTTTGGGGGTACACTAAAATAGAACTCATAATTGACACATTGACCAAGAGCAATATTTGAAATAGGGGGTAATTTCTTATGGTTTGACATTTCAATATAAACTTGGTTAGGACTTTCATAAAAATATAAGAATTTCCAAAATAATGGAATTTAAATTTTAAGAAACTTTTTTATGGTGCCCGGAATTTATTTTTAAAATATAAAATGAGAAATAATAACAATATAAGAAAAAAAAACTTTTTATAATCTGGAAGTTATGAAATGCCATTGTTTAGAAAATATAGCATTTTATTAAATAAAAAATTCAAGAAGTCAGACAACCATTTTTTCTGAGTATTCCCAACTCGCAAAGGGTACTCTATTTTTAGCCAGATCAATAATGAAGTTTTTCGGCCAGTCTGAATTATTTCAGTTTACCACACAGAATAATTTATATATTCTGGCATTTAACTCTTTTATGCATATATGCAAAACTCCGTCTCCGTCTGGCTAATTGCAAATGGGTGGGGGTGGGAGTACCAGTCTGGGTCCGAATAGTCCTTCTTGGCCCTACGAAAAAAGCCGAAAGTCACGCACTGGACGCCTTCGCTCAGCACCTGCCACCTTTGGCTGCTTTTGCTGGCTTTTCCATAAGACTCATGAATAATTCATTGGGCACGCTTCGATTATTTACTTCATAAACATTCCGCCATGGTCCAGAGTTTGTAAAGGTTCTTTAAAGAGGGGGTGGTTTTTGGCATGGGAGTGGGAAATGTCCGGCAGTTTACAGGTTGCGCATGCTTTTAATTTTAATAAATTGTAAATTGCTGGCTTATCAGCCACACGGCACCTGCACTTGCAACATGCAATCCTTGTTGACGTGCGCAATGAATTGCAAATGTCACTGCTAATGGGAATTGCCTTTATCGGTTTGATTTGATTAACGGGGGCCAAAGTGTGCCACAAAATTAAATTTCATTACAGCTTCATTTCGGAAGGGAGAAGGGGGCGAAAGTTAATCAAAAACCCCAATGAGCAGCTCGTAAAAAACCAAGGCTCCTCCGCTCCTCGACTCCTCGGTTGTATCTATTACACGTTGTCGCTCTGGCAACGTAATTGCTGAAAAATTAATACGCCAAAGTATATAAAAAAAAGGAGCAGGAGCTGAAGAACCGAAGACCCCCGATGATCATCCCTTGCTCGTAAAGCACGTTTTTGCAATTTACCCCGGCCGCATTAAGGAGTCCTCCTTCATCCGAGGAGCGGCGTCATATAAAATGCGCCGATGGCACAGTGAAATCAATTTCAAGTCATTAAACGAAATGAATCTTTATGGAGCGACTGACTTGCTCCTCCGCCCGCAGAGATTAGCAGCTGGGAGAGTGTGGAGTCTACCCAAGGATCTTGTTGGGGGTCCTTAACAATTTACAACACGTTGCCTTCTGGTGTGTAATCGAAACTGCCCTTAGTTTCGAGACACTCCAATGCGATTATTATTGATTTTCAGCTAGCGAGCTGAAATTGTTGTGATTGAATTATTTATGTGGGCGGTGGTTTAATGGTGGTTAGATTTAATGGCGGAGTTCATTAGGAGGGCCCACTTCTTCTCGCTCAGTTGATGGCCTAATTGAGTTGCCAACTGGCTGTCGAGCACTTATTTACAGACAGCAACAAAAGGCGCACGTGACGGGCATAAAGGATTAAGCCGCGCTGAAGGCACTGTTTGCCCAGCCCTTAAAGTTGGATTCAATTTTGAAATTAAAGCAAAACATAAATCAATTTGCCTAACTAAACAGTGGGATGGGTGGTTGGTTGGGTGGCTTGGATAACATTTGAATAAATATTGTGGCAGGCCACTTGAGCGACAGGGCCACCGAGGACAACAGCCGCAGGTCCTGGCTGGCCTTCGCGTCGTATACTTAATGTGGCCACATGTCCATACAAATGTAATAATTGCAGAAGCGCCGTCAGCAACTCTCGGTGCAACCTCAATGGCAGGGCTCCTGCTGCTGCTGCCCTCCGGCAGGCCAACTGAAGATGTAAATGTGGGGAAAGGACGAGGGGCAGGAGAAGGACGACCATGAGGATGTGTTCGGTGTGCACACATCACGCCGACGACAGGCGACGACAGCAGAGAAAGGGAAAGCAACGAAAGAGACGAGGAGATGGACGCCCGTTGCCTGCAGCAGACTAACTGACTGCGTGGCTGTTCCTGGATGCCTTCTGCCAGGATGTCTGCTATAAGGATGCCAGGCTGCCAGAATGCCAGCCTGTCTGCCGTATGACATGTGAGGACTTTGACAAAGCAAGCTGCTCCTCCCTCCGCCCCCCGGGGGCTACTACCAACTACCGACTGCCGACTGCCGACTACTGACTTGTGTGTGCAAAGACGCTTTTGGCATATCTAATGAAAGTTTCCCCCGGCATTGCACTTTAATGGACTCTCACCGCACACACTGCAAAATAAAGTCATCAAAAATATACAAAAAAAGAGGAAGCAATACCCCGGAAAAGAAGGAAAAAGTTGGCCCACCAATCGAAATAAATATTGTAAACGGTCTATAAATTGTTGCTCAGCCGCCGGGCAAAGTTTTCGACCCGCCAGCCGCTGTCGAAGTTAACTTGAGTGGCAGAAATCAGATTAAGCCAAATATTATACATGGCAGGCCGTAATGTATGCCTCTCGTACAATTTGCAGGTGTGCTAGCAAGACTTGAACAATTTTGCACAAATTTGGCGCAAAGACAATCAAAAAGTTATAAAACAAGCTTCGGCGAAACAAAAGCAAGCCTCCAATGGCCTCGGGCGGAATGCTAAGGATGCTAAGGATGCTGGAATCCTGCAGGATAGGTGTCTCTGTGCAGAGGCGTGTGTGTATCGGGCCGTAAAAAGTTTTGTTGGGCGCCAACTTTCGCCTGCCTTACCATTCCACGTTGTATTTTCCCACTGCCTGGCCTAACATTGCGCATACGCCGCGTGGTCTTATTATCAGCCGCATCAGCGGCGCCCGTAAAGTAAATGCAAAGTGTGCAAAGTCTATAAACGAGCGTCAAACTTAAAAGCCCCAAGGTGGCGTCGCCTGCGCCAAGGACGACAAGGACTTAAGCTTGTTTTTGGCCCGCCTGGAGGAGCAGCAGCATCAGACAGACAAACAGATATCCATAGAGGTAGGCAGAGAAAGTAGGGAAAGCCAGGTTTATACACTCCTCTTTTTTTGGCCTATCAAAAAAAGTTGCTCACACGACAAATTGTCACAAAGACAAAGAGGCACTGGAACAGGGAAAAGGGAATTTTATATTCCAGCGTTTTCTATTATTTGTATTATTTATGGTGCTCCTGGCAATGTCGTTAAACGGGGGCCCATTAAGAGGCCTCCAATAAATACAGGCAAGTGTGTGTGGGTGACAGCTGCTTCTTCAGCTACTCCCAACAAAATAAAAACCCAAACGGATCTCAGCAAGCAAATAAAAAAGGAAAGCTTCCGCAAAACAATTATGCCTAAGTGTAGGATCTAAAATATTTATGAACCGCCAGCTTTTGCACTTACTCCTCAAAAGGCGAAGCAAAGTCGATTGTCAGCTATTTTTGGCTGTAAAAAAAAGTAGGGAAAAACGAGAAACGTCAAAGCGGCTAAAGAGACTTGGAAAAACTATTAAGATGTCAGCAAATAATTACGCATGAAAGCAGTTGCATAAATCTGGTCGCCTCTTATTGCCAAATTCGCCACTAAAAAGGAACTGAGCTGGAAACTGCGAAGCCATCGAGGCGTCGCCTTCCGAGAATCGAGAATGGCCATAATGCGACACTCGAGGCCAAGAAAAGAGGGAGGAGATCTCTGCCAGCGGATGGAAGGCACTTTATCAAAAGGGATTTGCCAACTGGCCTGGGACAAAAAGTTAACGGAGGAGATATAGCCGAGCGCCCTGCATTTGCCTTCCACTTGGTCTTCTTTTTTTCGGGACCCTGACAGTTTTGTAATAACAATGACCGCAAAAAAGCGAGTGGAATCGATTTGCCATTTTTCACCAAATTTATGAGTTTATGAGCGGCGAAGCTTCGCTTTTTCCCCGCTGTTTTCCATTAAAGCCAAGCCGATGACAAATATATTTTATTCCCCTTGAACTTGATCCTTAATGAGCCTTAATAGGGATGCTCGCAGCAGGAAACAACTGCAGCATAAATCTCGAAAAAAAACCCTAATCAGTGAGAGGCGACCCGAAATAAATTTCAGGAAAATCCATAAATTGGACAAAAAATCGAAATATAAACTGACCAAGTCCAAATCCAAGTCGAAGTCCGAGTGACAAGAGTCAGGATTCAAATGCGAAAACCCAGCGAAGCGTTAATTATTCAGGCCCACATGCCAAGAGCCACCACAGCCGCATTCATCATTATCCACAGTTTGATTTTAACCACAAAGTTTTGTCGGCCGCAAAACTTTTGACAAAGGTCGAGAGCGAGCAGTTTAAAGCAGAATTGAAACGAAACGAAAGTCAAACGCTGCCGGCAGTTCCTGCAAAATAAATGAATGATCCTGGCTCTTCCCTTTCTTGTGTCGGAGGTCATGAGGTTTTAAGGGATTTGAGCGGAAGGCAACCGGATTCGAAAGACCAACCAACGAAAGTGATGGCGCATAAATTTGTGGGCCAGGACCCCAGGATTCGGGATTCCGGAGTCCAGGATCCGAAAGAGCTTAGCAGGCCGTGTGGTCAAGCAAAACAAATGACAGCAAAACGCATAAATTGAACCTGTTTTCCACAAAACCAAGAGCCATTCAAAAATCACGGAAGTACAGTTACGCCCGAGTTATGGCCAAAAAGTTCAATCTGCAGTCATTAGCCATCGGGTTATGGCCCTGGAAAATCACACAAGACTTCTTGGGGTTTGCTGCTCAGCCATAACAATTTAATCACTGCCGAAAACACACAGCGAGGACAATTTGA